ACACATGCCTGGGTGGCGGTTCAATCCACTCTAGGAAGCGTTCAGGATACAGCCAATCAATTATTTTCATCATTGATGTTTCTATTTCTCTCTTTCTGAAATCAATAAAAATATATTTTAAAAAAGAAAAGAATGAAATCTGTTTCACATACACCATAAACCTACTTTGCCTTTTGCCTCTTTTTTTTTCTGTCCTTTTTTTTTTTCTCTTTCCTTTTGGATGTTTTCTATTGACCTGTTTTCCTTAAGCAATTCTGTCCTGTGCTGTAGAATGTTTGTTTACCCTGCCCAATTCATATGTTGAAATCCTACCCCCCAATGTTATGTTATTTGAGGGTGGGATCTTTGGGAGTGTGAATGGAGAATGAGAATGGACATGAGAATGGAGCTCTTGTGAATAGGATTACTGCCCCTGGCATCCTTCTACCATGTGAGGTTACAGGAAGAAGACAGCTGTGTATGAACCAGGAAGTGGGTTCTCACCAGACAGCAAATTTCCTAGCATCTTGGTCTTGGATTTTCCAGCATCCAGAACTGTGAGAAATTAATTTCTATTGTTTATAAGTCACCCAGTCTATGGTGATGGGAGATAATTACTGACCAGCTGCCTCCTACACTCCCCACACTGGGGATCCAGCAGGCAATCCAGTCATATGCCCTGGCTGGGAATTGAACTGTGACCTCAACAGACTGGATGAACCTCTTGGTTTATAGTTCAGTGCTCAAGCACTGAGCCATGTCAGTCGCAAGCATACTGTGGAGGAAAGCGGCCACATGCTAACCTGACAAACTCAGGGAAGGCCTGCATGGTGGTCTTGCAAACTCAGAGACCTAAAGTAACCATAAAGGATGGTCTGAAATTAAACTTGAGCCAAAAGCAGCTATTGTGGGTAGTTACATCCTAGGCCGGTATCTACACTGACAAGGTCAACCTTTACCTTAACTGAGCCTACCTGTCTTTTTGCATCTATAATCACATACCCTGGAAAGGCCTTGGTAACTTGTAACTTCCCTTTTTCTGGACCCCTTGCGGGCATAACCTACTGTGCCTGGACAGCAGGACAGATAACACAAATATCTTCATTGTTACCATGTTAATTGTTCCTGTACCCACCTAAGGTGTGTCTATCATTTTACTTTTTATCCAAACCCAGGGGTTTCCTCCTCTCCCCCTTTGCTTTCTTCCACCTCTCTAGTCTATCACCAGTAACCCACCTACTTCCCTTTCCTTTGATTGCAATGTATAAATACAGATGTAACCCACCATTCTCTGGAGCATTCTCTCAATCCATTGAGGTTCTGCTTCCTGGCCATTGTGGATAGTTTGGCTCAAATAAACTCACAAAAATTCTTTACAGGTTTGAATGTTTTTATGTTAACAACTAGTGTCCTGTTGCACAGATTTGTGCACATTGAAAAGAAATTAGAAAATATTTTAATATTATTATTCAAAAAAAAAATATATATATATATTATTCACCCTTTCTCTATAATAGAAGTGTCAACCAAAATCACAATCGACAATGACAGATCGAAACACACATGCGATTGGCACTAGCGAGAGCTTTATATGTATGTTGCACCCTGAGCTCAGACTTTTAGCCTCCAGAATTGTAAGAAATGTTTAGACTGGTATTTTTGTTACAGCAGCCTAAACGGACTAAAACAACGTTAGATCTAATTCTTTACATAGTTGTTATCTTTATGCTAATTGGCTTACTGATAAGTGAGAAATGTGAAGATAGAAATGTGAAGATAGCCAAAACCGGGTTGGCTCAGTGGATAGAGCGTCAGCCTGTGGACTGAAGGGTCCCGGGTTCGATTCTGGTCAAGGGCATGTACCTTGGTTGTGGGCACATCCCCAGTGGGGGGTGTGCAAGAGGCAACTGATTGATGATTCTCTCTCACTCATCGAGTTTCTAACTCTCCCTCTCTCTTCCTCTCTGTAAAAAATCAATAAAATATATATTTTTTAAATGTGAAGATAAACAACTAAGGGTACAATAAAGGGTAAAATGAATTCCCAGTCTGTGACAGAGGCAGTATATTTTATCTTGAAAAGTCAATAAGGCCACCAGACCCAGATGAGGTCACCCCTCTTTTCACTGACTTGGGGGTTTGTGCCTTATGGAAGATCTAGGCTTGCTGTCACAGCCTGAGCTGGCCAGGTTCCCAGATTTCTCATGATTTCTTGCTTCTTGGTCATTAGTAATTTCAAGATAGGCTCATATACGCCTCCCTATCTCCCAAGGCAGTCTGTGGCTGGGCATAGGGTTTCCTCATTGCAGACTGTGTGATAAGCAACTGTTGGCTTCTCTTAGCAGATTGTTAATTTCTAGCCTTAAACTAGGTTGGAATAATCTCCCACTTAAATATATATATATATAATTTACTGATTTGAGAGAGGGAGAGAGAGAGAGAAACATCAATGAGAAAGAACCATTGGCTGCCTCCTGCACATCCCACACTGGGGACCAAGCCTGCAACCCAGGTATATGTCATAGGTTGATGCTCAACCACGGAGTCATGCTGGTCTGGCTAATCTCCCACTTTTGTCTGAGTACATGCAGATCCATCATTAAAAATTAATGGCCCCTGCTGAAATCGGTTTGACTCAATGGTAGAGTCGGTCTTCGGACTGAAAGGTCCCAGGTTTCATTCCGGTCAGGGGCATGCACATGCAAGAGGCAGCTGGTCGATGTTTCTCTCTCATCAACATTTCTATCTCTCTCCCTTCCTCTCTGTAAAAAATCAATAAAATATAAAAAATTAATGGCCCCTGGTGACTTTTAAAGAACTTCTGGTGATGTATTTTCTATACCTGATTGAGACTTAACCATAACCATGCCATGTATCTATTATTGAATATGTACACTTACCTGGTCTCCCTGGGCTGCCTTAGGCAATCCTCAAGGTTAGCAGAAGTCTGAGAGCCATTTTATGGGAGTAGCAGCTGAGAGTTTGGTGGAGATGCCAACATGACCTTTTCAAAGATCAAGACCTGGAGTCAGCTTCAGTGTATCCCCCATAATATCCCATCTCAGGCATCTGATATCTCAGGCTCTAGTTATGTCTGAGATGGGGGTCAGCACAGCCAAAGCTGCACTTTTGAGCATGTTCACCAGTTGGTATCACATACTTTAAGTTGTTATTTTCCCCCAACATGATGGATTGTCTGAGTGGGATAAAAGTACACCAAGGTAATGGGAAGTCACAGGGAGTCTGGTCCCAGGGTGGCAGAGTTTATCTTGGGCAGATATTTAATCCTGCTATGCAGAACTGTTGCCATTCCTTTTTTTCTCTCAATATATTTTATTGAATTTTTACAGAGAGAAAGGGAGAGGGATAGAGAGTTAGAAACATTGATGGGAGAGAAACATGGATCAGCTGCCTCCTGCACACCCCCTACTGGGGATGTGCCCGCAGTCAAGATACATGCCCTTGACCGGGATCATACCTGGGACCTTTCAGTCCACAGGCGGACATTCTATCCACTGAGCCAAATCGGTTAGAGCAATTGTTGCCGTTTCTATGCCATTCCTCAGTTCAATTAGAACCCAACCCAGTCCACATGGCACAATGAATGTGAAGCAGCTTTGTGAAGATCTCTCTCCTGAGGAGAGGAAGGGACCCTGGTGTGAGGTGAAACAACCAATACCAGCGTAAAGTGCTGCATACAAGTCAGCCAGTAAGAACAGTTCCTCAGGCCCTGACCTGTTTGGCTCAGTGGATTGAGTGTCAGTCTGGTTGTGGGCACATCCCCAGTGGGAGGTGAGCAGGAGGCAGCTGATCGATGTTTCTAACTCTATCCCTCTCCCTTCCTCTCTGTAAAAAAATAAAAAAATAAATAAAATATATATTTTAAAAACAGTTACTCAAGCACAGACTTGACGAGACCTCAAAGATATTTTATTTTACTCTTTAAAAAAAAGATTTTAAAATTGATTTTTAGAGAGAGGGGTAGGTAGGAGAGAGAGGAAGAGATAAAAACATGGATTGGCTACTTTTTGCATACACGTGGGAGGTGATGTGTGTGTGTGAGTGTGTGTGTGTGTGGGGGGGGAGGGTTCCAAGCCTGCAATCTGGATTTGTGCTCAGACTCAGAATCGCACCTGTAACCTTTCAGTGCACGGTACAATGCCAACTGAGTCACAGCGGCCAGGGCTCTTAACCGCTTTTAAACATGCGTTTCAGTTCTGACTTAACACCAAGATTCATACACAGAGTGTCTCACAGTGTATTTATAATGCTGGTTATCACTTTGAATTCTATAGTGAGGGCCAGGCACGCTTCACAACTGTTCTTCCCATTAGAGCTCCCCCCTCTTCCTCCGCAGAATAACGAGGCTCGGAGAAGTTCCAGGACTTGCCCAGCCTGCAGGAGAGTAAGGATTGCCAAGGGGATCTTTTCTTACCCTGGAACCCGTGCTCCCAACCCTGACTCCAGGCTGCCTTCTCTGCATAAAAACGACTTTGGAGGCAGGTTGAAGGAAGCAGGCAGAGATGCAAGAAGAGGCTGGGGTACACCTGATGATGGGGTGAAGTTCACCTCTATAACTGAACAGGCAACATCCTCTACCGGCCATCTTGGTTGTGGCAACCCCAATTCCTCTCTATTTTTCTGTGACGACAACCAAGGGGAGTAAGGCCAAGCCGCTCAGCCGCGGCTTTTACTGAAGGGAACACCGGCAACTCCTCCGGCAAGGAGCGCCGCTTTCGGGCCCGCCTGGGCCCCGCGCGTGGCGGCTCCGAGCACGGCCACCTCGCGGGCTTCGCTCCCCATTCACTGCCGACACGGCGCACGGAGGGGCTGGTGTGGTCCGCCAGCCCCGCTCCCGTGGCCCCGCCTCTCGCAGCGGCCACGCCCCTCGCCGTGGCCACGCCCCTCATTTAAGTACGCGGCGTTCCGCGGGGGGAGGGAGGCTGGTGTGGTCCATCCGGCCCCCCCTCCCGTGGCCCCGCCCTCTTCGCCGCGACCACGCCTCCTCATTTAAGTACGCGGCGCCGGCGGCTGCGTCGAGCTCGCCGCGGACCCAAGATGGCGGCGTGTGGACGTGTACGGAGGATGTTCCGCTTGTCGGCGGCGCTGCAGCTGCTGCTGCTGCTCGGGGCGGCCCGGGCCGAGAAACTACCGGGCCAGGCCTCCCACGGCCAGGGCCAGGGCCCGGTGCCCAACTTTGTGCTCCCTGGGGGACCGGGTGGAGGCGGCGGCGGACCGGCGGGGCAGCCGCTGCTCCAGGTGCAGCCACAGCAGCAGCAGCAGCAGCAGCAACAGCAACAGCAGCAGCAGCAGCAACAACAGCAACAACCACCTCAGCCGCCGCAGCCACCTTTCCCGGCGGGTGGGCCTCCGGCCCGGCGGGGCGGAGCAGGGCCCGGCGGGGCCGGCGGTGGCTGGAAGCTGGCGGAGGAAGAGTTCTGCAGGGAGGACGTGACCCGCGTGTGTCCCAAGCACACCTGGAGTAACAACCTGGCGGTGCTCGAGTGCCTGCAGGACGTGAGGGAGGTGAGGAGGCGGGCCGGGGCCGCGAGGGCCGGGCGGGCCGGGCCTGGTGTGGGCCGGTGGGTGTCGCCAGCCTGGGGAGCGGCTGACGCTGGTCCGCTGCTCCGCTCGCCTCCTCTGCGCTGCGCTCGCGCCTTCCCTCCCAGCCCCTCTCCCTCTCCCTCTCTCTCTCTCTCTCTCTCTCCCCCCGGCGCCTTCCGAGAAGCCGGCTCCTCCTCCCCGCCCTCGCTCCCTCCCTCCTCCCCGTGCGGGGACGTGGGACGCCGACCCCGGCTCGGCGCGCGGCCGCAGCGCGCGGAGCCCCGGAGCGGGTCTGCGTTCGGTCCGGTCTTTTGTGTAAGATGCTCTGTGAGCGCAGCGGCTCCTCGCGCGGAAGACCTGTTCCCGGTTTGGCCATCCGTTTGGATTTGACAATTTGTAGCAACCCTCTTTTTTTTTCTTTCTTTAATAGTTAATGAAACCCTATTACATATGTAGCCACCCTCTTGTTAACCTGAAAATGGTTGGCGCTCCTAAACGCGGCTCAAGAAAGGGAGCTGTGGATGGCCAGAAGGTGGTATTTGTTTAGGGAACTTGGGCTCTTGTCTGATGTGCATTGTTTGTCAGTCGCCGAATTGACTGGTCTCTGCCCCATTCTTTTGTGATTCGAAAATTCCTGTTATCTGCCAGGAACTGAAACGAATTTATGCTGCTTCTCCCTTCTGCTTTAGGTCTTTTTGGACTGTATCTCAAGTTTAAGCTCTTACTAGCCAAATGATGTAGATAGAGTTCAGAGCTTGGAAAGTTGGGGCAACATTTGAAGCTGTAACACACACACACACACACACACACACACACGCACACAGCATTTGTGATTGGGTTGTGGACTCTTGTCTTTCCGACGTCTGCATTAGGTTCTCACAGGACCTCTCAGTGCAATCTAGATTTGATTATTGGATGTGATTCAGTGTAAGCGACAGAGCATTTCTTCTCTAGTTTTAATGCTGCAGACATCTATGACAATTCTCAGTCCAGAGTTTGAGAGCATATCTGATAGGGATACTTAAAAAAAAAAAAAAAAAGTTTAGGTGTATCGTCTTAGGCCCAAAAGTGAACAAGGAGAATGAAGTTGCTGTTTGATACAGTTTTGTGTGGCCAATTGTATCATCAGAGTTGCCCGAGGTGGTGTCTTGGTCATGGGAAGACGACTGGTTTGTAGAAAGGCAGTGGTTTCCTCCTCCACGCCCCAATCCCACGGTGATATTTGATCTATATGTTATATACACAATAGTACCTGAGAGGAAAAGACATACATAATCAGGAGTCAGAGAGAAAGAAAGTGTCCGGAGCCGCCAGAAGTGTGGGGCCTTCGGGTACTTCGCAGCCACAGTTTGAATAACTAGAAGGATGATCATCTCTTGTTATTCTTTATTTTTCAGCCATTCTTCTAGATAAATAGAACTAAGGCTCTTAATTCTGTGAAGCTTTCTGGATATTTGATGATATATGTATAATAGAAGTTCCCTCAGACTAGCATCCTGCTATTGGTTTGTGGCAAAACAGGACGTTATCAGGGAAAAGGATAAAAAGTGGCCCATCCAATGAAGACATGTCTCTTTCTTTGTGTGCATCAGGGACATATGGAAACCTCCACTTACAGGCACAGCCTTCCTTTATCATGCATGTAGAACTGTGTAGGAGCATATATAATCCACAAATAGATCTGACCAGTTTTGGAGTCTGTTTAATTTAGTAAGGTACCATCTTCCTGGCATTGCTTACTTTAAAGAACCTGGCCTGAAATATAGTCCTTACTCCATTTGCCTGTAAGATTCTCAACAAGGATATTGGTTCAGTAACTACATTTTTCTTCCTTTATGGGATGATATAGAAACTCTTTGAGGGTAGCTACTGGGTCCTATATTTCCTTTGTAACTTTCTAGAGTATGGTACCTGATTCAGCGCTAAGGCAGTTAACATTGTGCACTGATTGAGGATGAGTAAACTACTGGATTCCGTTTTATGCTCCAGAGGAAGAAAAGGTGTCCTGTAAATGGAAGGTGGGGGTATTTTGGTGGGTAAGAGGAAATCTAAATTTCCAATTTAATTAATTTCCCTCTAATTTTATATACATAAAAATAAAGAGGAGTACCATGGACAACAGTTGTATAGTCTTCAGAAGGTGGAGTTATTTTTAAACTACTTTTTAAAAAAAGACAGCAAAGGAAATTTTATTTCACTTAGTTTGAGAATTAGTTCAATCTGATTTATGTGTTTGAAAGAGCATAACTTAAAGAAATAAACTGGCTAGGCAGATTTGAAGTGAAATCATGGAATATGATTTGTATTTGCTGTTCAGTGAATAGGACTCTTTGATGATAAAGTAGACATGTACATCTTTATCTTTTTGGATACAAATTTGAGGAAGATTTTTCTCTGTGTACTTGTGATTAGAATTACGAAAAGGCAAAGCATGTGGGTATAGTAAACCACATTTTTTATTTTGGAATATATAGTGTTAGGTTGTCTATTTTTTAATTTTATTTATTTATTTATTTATTTATTTATTATTTTTTATATATTTTATTGATTTTTTACAGAGAGGAAGGGAGAGAGATAGAGAGCTAGAAACGTTGAGAGAGAGAAACATTGACCAGCTGCCTCTTGCACAGCCCCTACCGGGGATGTGCCCGTAACCAAGGTACATGCCCTTGACCGGAATCAAACCCAGGACCTTTCAGTCCGCAGACCGACGCTCTTCCACTGAGCCAAACCGGTTTCGGCTTAATTTATTTTTTGATTATAGTTGGCATTCAACATTTTTTTTTGTGTTTCAGATGTACAGCACAGTGGATACACATTCATATAGGTTACCAGCTTAAGTCTTAAATTGAAATATGTTAAGTTTTCTGTAGCAGTTTTTTTTTTTTTTTTTTTTTTTTTTTTAATATATTTTATTGATTTTGTACAGAGAGGAAGGGAGAGAGACAGAGAGTTAGAAACATCGATGAGAGAGAGTCATCGATCAGTTGCCTCTTGCACACCCCCTACCGGGGATATGCCCGCAACCAAGGTACATGCCCTTGACCGGAATCGAACCCGGGTCCCTTCAGTCCCCAAGCCGACGCTCTACCCATTGAGCTAAACCGGTCCCGGCTCTGTAGCAGTTTTGTAGCAGTTCACTTACAGAATATACTTACAGGCATTATAGTTACCTTTAAATAATTTCAACTGATACTTCCAATTTAACTACTCCATCATAGGCCAACAAATTAAAAACTGTAGTAAAACTAGGTACAGATACGGATTAGTTCACAGCTTTTTAAAAATCAATTTGGCCATTATTTTGAAGGTGTGTGTTCTGTGGGGGATTTTTCCTTCTTTTTAACACTCTCAGATGAGTCATGTTTTTTTAAAAGGTCAAGTACATAGCCAGAACCGGTTTGGCTCAGTGGATAGAGCGTCAGCTTGCGGATTGAAGGGTCCCAGGTTCTGTTCCTGTCGGGTACACATACCTTGGTTTCTGGCACACCCCCGGTGGGGGCACGTGCAGGAGGCAGCTGATCGAAATGTTTCTCTCACATCAATGTTTCTAACTCTCTCTCTCTCCCTTCCTCTCTGTAAAAAATCAATAAAATATATTTAAGAAAAAAATAAATAAATAAAAGGTCAAGTACCTAGTAGGCCCACTATTAAATAGTAGGTGTAATAGTAGTAATGGTGGGATAGTAGAGTCTTGGTGTGTGTGTGGGTATGTTTGTGTGGGTGTAATTTATTCTAGTTAATGGAAAAAAATAGCTATGTAGGAAAGGAAAAAATACACTGTGGACTGTTTTAACAGGTAGAGGAGTAGTAATACCGAAGCAAGAGAAGGTACTGCTCTCTAGTTAGTAGTTAAAGAGATAAGACATACAACCATGATGGGGAATCGAACCCATGACTTTTGAGAGTAATTTAAAAATCCTTGATGTATTTTTGGCTGAGATGTTGTATTTAGAAGTTTTAGATGAAGACAGTGGTTTCTTAGGAGTTTACTAGTGCTGTGCATAGTTTTTCTTAGTTTTGTTGTTGTTATAAGTTTAAAAAAAAAACTTTCTAAATTGTGAAATTTCAAACATGCACAGAAGTAGAGAGACAAGTATGATGACTCCCCATGTATGATCACCCAGCTTCAACTTCCTTTTTTGGCGTGTGTAGGGGGGTGTCACAGGGTTTGGGTTACTGGCATATTTTAGCAAATCCCAGACACTATGTCATTTTTCTTTAATACGTCAATGTATGTCTCTGATAAGGACTTAAAAATATATATATATAAAAAATAAAACTTAAGCCGAAACCGGTTTGGCTCAGTGGTAGAGCGTCGGTCTGTGGACTGAAAGATCCCAGGTTCCATTCCGGTCAAGGGCATGTACATTGGTTGCGGGCACATCCCCGGTAGGGGGTGTGCAAGAGGCAGCTGGTCGATGTCTCTCACTCATCGATGTTTCTAGCTCTCTATCTCTCTCCCTTCCTCTCTGTACAAAAATCAATAAAATATATTTTAAAAAATAAAAATAAAAAAATAAAACTTAATAGTTCTAGTTAATGGAAAAAAATAACTATGGACGTAAAGGCCCAGTTGGTTAGAGCATTTTCCCAATACAGGATCCTCTGTCAGAGCACATACAAGAATCAGCCAGTGGTCCTGCCAGTGTTGCACAATAGAGTGTGGGCCCATGGGCTAAAGGGCCATGGGTTCGGTTCCTTGTCAAGGGCTCTTACCGCTGTTGCGGGTTCCCCAGCTCCAGGAGGAGCATGTGCTGGAGGCAACCAACTGATGATTCTCTCTCTCTTTCCCTCTCCCCCTCCTACTTCAATTGCACTCTCTCTAGAAATCAATGGGAAAAATATCCTCAGGTGAGGATTTAAAAAAAAAAAAAGGAAGAAAGAAAACCAAGAACCTGTTATTTTTAGTAGTAAAAAAGCATCATGCCCAGCCAGCGAGGCTCAGTGGTTGAACAATGACCTACCTATGAACCAAGAGG